TTTTTATTATTGATATATAGGTATACACTAACAGGTCACGCCGAGTTGTCATAACAACGTCATTACATGTAAGATAAAAATAGTTTTTCCGGGAAGAATTCAGACGCCCTTAGCACAATGGCGGAACTCAATGAGTTTGCGAACAATCTTGAAAGAGAACTCACTTGTTCTATATGTGCAGAGATCTTTACCAACCCGAAGACGTTGAAATGTCTACACAGTTTCTGTCTGAAATGCATATCTGACTGGAACGCGTCATGCAGACGGGAAAGACGACCACTAACGTGTCCTTTATGTAAGTCAATAGAGGGACTCGAAGGCAATGACGTGTCTAGTCTTCCTTCTTCGTTTCATCTTCAGCCTCAACTGCAACTTCTTCACGATATGAGAATAAGTGCAGACTCTCGMGAACAGCAAGAATTGCCAGACTGTGTCAGCTGCAAGACACAAATGAAACTCGTTGCGTTTTGTCCGCAATGTCAAGGACTGATCTGTGCTTCCTGCGTGAAACTCCACCAAACAATAACAGGGCTCAAAGACAACCATCAAGCAACAAAGTTCAGCGATTTCAAGAAAGAAAATATCAACAGTTATGTCAAAAATCGAATGCATTGTCAGAAAAGATATCATGATAACAATAAATTGGACTTTTACTGTACAACATGCAAAGAACGTATTTGCTGTGTTTGCAACGGCACGGAACACAAACTACACCACACAGTGACCGTCGAGGAAGCCGCAGAAGAAGTAAAAATGTTCATTATTCGCGATATGGATCGAGTTAATGAAGTAAAGGAAAACTACGAAAAAGAACTTAAAACGTCTAAGCAGAATATGACAAGAATTGAACAAGAAACTAACGCAGCAATAAAGGAAGTCACCGATGAAGTCGAGAAACACATCAAAGTCTTGAGAGAACATAAAGCAGCTGTGATTGAAACCCTGCAGACTAAACTTCAGCAACAGAAAACACAGAATGACGAAGAACAAAGAGAAATACGTGATGGAATCGAAAGACTTTCTGAATTCAACCTTCGAGGTCAGACATTGCTGGATGAAAATGTAGCACATTTCATTGTCAAAAGCCAGCATGATCTTTCTCAAAGATGTGAAACACTTCGTGAAAAGCCATCAGTATTGAACAGCAAATCAATTAAACGTAACGCAAGTGTACGGTACACACACAACCAACAAGTCACGCAAGCCCTGCAAAATATTGGAACGATTGTGGAGAGCGTGACAGATCCTTCATGTTGTTCAATTGAAAGTCTAAATGACATCAGGTGTGGCTTTGTCAATCGTTTTGAAGTCGTGACTCGAAATTCCCAGAAAGAACCTTGCGTGACTTGTCAAGGATCCATTGATGTTCAAATCCAAGATGGCGACGGCATTAATGTAGAGAAGGAAGTGAGTCAAAGTGATACTGGGAAATACACCGTGACGTACCGAGCAGAAAAACCATGTGATTACACAATCCATGTAAGAATTGGTGGACAAAAGATCAATAACTCACCACAAACTGTGAAGACAAGTGATGTCAGAGACGAGTTGAAACCTGTGAAAACCTTTGGAGAGAAACTAAGTAGAATTGGACAGTTAAATCGTCCATTGTCACTAGCAGTAAGTGATAGAGGAGAGGTAGCCATTGCTGACTATGGTAACCATCGTATTGTAATATTCAGTGTTGATGGGGAATGTCTGCGGCGTTTTGGCGACAAAGGAACAGGTGGAGGTCAACTTACTGATCCAATTGGTGTGGTCTTTAATAAAGACCGTTTACTTGTTACAGATAATAACGATGGTAACGGACGATTACAGGAGTTTGACTTGAATGGTACCTACTGCAGAACTATTTACAAACAGCAAGGTGTTAGATTATTTGGAATGTGTTCAGCACATGAAAACATTGCTGTTTGTTATGAAATCCAAAACAGACGTCAGTCAGGAATAAACGTATTCAATAAACAATCTGGTGAGCTAATGCAAGAAATTCCTGTAAACTATAATGTACCTTTTTACATTACTTATGGCAACGGTAAATACTTTTTATCAAATATAATCAAACACCACATCGGTGTTTATGATAATAACGGTGGATTTCTCTACAAATTTGGAAATTTCGGGAATGGAGATGGACAGTTCAACGATCCACGTGGTCTTGCTGCTATAAGTGATGTAATCCTTGTTTGTGATGCTCGTAACGACCGTGTTCAGATGCTGAATCAAGACGGTCAGTTCATAAGATCCTTTGGTGTCAGTGGTTCAGGTCTTGTTCAAATGAATTTCCCAGTAGATATCACTGTTGCACCAGATGGTCGAGTGTTTGTACTTGAATGGGGAAATAGCCGTGTTCATGTGTGGCGATAGAAATATTGTAAACTAGACGATCAGCGATCGTTTACATGGGCTTCCTGTGGTATATCACAATCAGTAAATGATATTGAACCCTAATGAAATTAATATTACTATTAAAGACAACAGCCAAAAAAGTTTTCCTTTAATGAAATATAATAAAACAAGCAATGTACTTGAAAATAGTAGAATTTAATAATATTGTGAAAGAAGTAATTTATGTTTGACGAGACGTTACTTTAAGAGTCGCATACTTGGCTGTATTAAACACAGATCGATAGTCTTTCATGTTCTTCGCTTAAAATACTTCCTATCCTCTGTTTTTCCTCAGTATAAATCTGTTGACATGTCTTAGATAAGTCCTTGGTGATTGTAGAGCCTGTACTAGTATAAGTTAGCTTAAATTGATGAGCTAATGTTGATAGTAGAACCTTAATTCACGATCGGTAGATTCACGATTAATTCGCCGTATCTCTCCAAATGCCCTTTTGAGAAATGCTCGAATTTTTTTAGTGTGGCTATGCCGCGAATGGTGTGTGGATTTGTAAAAGAATCTAGCCTATTTGTAGAAGCTAGATAGATTCGACATTTTCGATCTTAAGACTTTGCCGGCTTTACGAAGGTCCGAAGAAGCATGAAGCGACCTTTGAATCGTTGCTTAGAAACATGAATGACAGTAAGACAATAGATGTCAAAAATGAAAAGGTCCCGGATATAATTTGAAGCATACCACAGACGAAAAACGTCGGTAATTTAAGACATGGTCTTCCTTTGGAAGCCCATGTAAT